TGAGAACTGGCGACTTTGTAGTACAACTTTAGTACGCGGAGTAGCTGGGGAGCTGGAAGATGAGAACTGGCGACTTGGTAGTACAACTTTAGTACGCGGAGTCGCTGGGGAGTGGGAAGATGAGAGCTGGCGACTACAACTTGAGTCCGCGGAGTGTCTGGCGAGTTGGAAGATGAGAACTGGTGACTTTGTAGCTGGGTAGATGAGAACTGGCGACGTGGTAGTACAACTTTAGTACGCGGAGTATCTGGGGAGTGGGAAGATGAGAACTGGTGACTTGGTAGTGCAATGACTAGTACCCGGGGAGCTGGAAGATGAGAACTGGCGACTTGGTAGTACAACTTGAGTACGCGGAGTATCTGGGGAGTTGGAAGATGAGAACGGGCGACTTGGCTGCCTCAGCATTTTCTGTCTTCATTCCAGCTCGGTTTTTTCCGTGAGATTCCCTGCAGCCGTGCACGCTGCTTCTCCCCTTACCAGCAGCTCACACACTCACGACGATGAGCTGGGCTGTCACCGCTTGGCCGCCGGTGGGTGTTTGGGAGGCCGCATCACACACAGACACCCACACACTCCCTCAACTTACACGAACACACACATACGCAGACTCATTTCCACACGGACATAGACACACGCACAGAAACCCACACACTACCTCAACTCACTCGACTTCACACTCCTCACTGCACACTTACCGGATAACTCGCACTCTGACTTCCTACGTGATGAAAAATGCTTTCGGGCCACTCGTCGTCTAGTTTCCTGAGAGAGAGATGTATATGGAGAGACTGAGACCGCATTTTCTGACTGACATTATCTTATGAGTTTCCTGTCAAGAGAGAGAGAGAGAGTCCTATTAGATTTCTCTGTCTTTGTGAGATTTCTGAGTGATCGAGAGTTTTTGCGAGATTCAAATTCATGATTTCTTTGTGGCATATGGACAGAGAAAGCATGTTCATCAGGAGGGAGCTGCTATGCTGTTGAGATGCTATAGCTATCCTTGCAGGTGTTTTTTGGATCTGAGTATAGGATGTCTGAGGAACCTTTGCTTCCGCTATGGCTCCTGCGTCGAGCTACGTTGGGGGCAAAGATGGGGAGGCCTAAGACCTTTTGGTGGAATCCAAAATCTTCTCATAAACATTATCTTTCGGAATTTTCTCGAGACATTTATTCTAACGTTTCTATATTTTCTTTTCTCTCGGGAAAGCATTCTACTCTTAGATGTAACTTTTTGGATTGCGCATTCAATTCCTATCCAGATATTCAGCTGCATGCAATTGTTCATTGTTACCATTCTGTATACTCTGTGTCAGGTACCCGAAGAGATTCCAAGCACTCAACCGGAGGAGGCCATGATTCCTGGTGATGGTGGAAGTGAAAAAGAAGAAAATGGTGAAGATGTGCTGAAGAGACCTTCTTCCAAAACTCCCAAATCCAAAGCTGCTCCAAAAGCCAAAGTCTTGAAGAGGCCAGCGGCCCAAAACCTCAGCCAAAGAAAAAGCAGAAAAAAGACGATGAGATGGAACCACAGGATGTACTGGAGGAGGACGATACAGAGGGCAAAAAAGAGAAGAAGCACAAGGAAAGGAAGGGGAAGGGCGATGAGCCTAAGAAGGAAAAGGGAAAGGAGAAGGATGAGCCTAAGAAAGGACACAAGGGGAAGAACGATGCGCCTAAGAAGGGAAAGAAGGAGAAGGAAGAGAAGGATGAGCCTAAGATGAGCAAAAGAAAAACTGTTGGAGAAAGCTGCGAAGATCAAAATTTCACAGGACTCAGAGGAAGAAGGATCAGAGGAACCAGAATCAAAAGATCATGACCAAGAACCAAGATGACACCAAGCTGCAGTTAGAAAAGAGGGATGAGCGCAAGGCGTACTTCTTCAGGAAACAGTTTGGAAATCAGGCAGCTTTTTGTCAGCCGCCAGGACAAAACTAAGCTGGTGAATGGCGCTGCGAAGCGCAAAGATGATGGCAGCCTCGAGTTGGACTTGCAGAGTCCGGTGATCAGCACGGTGGCAAAGTCTTACAGCCACATCCAGGGAAGCGACAAGTTGAAAGGGTACCCCAAGAGCCTCATCATTGCCAAGTTAGGTTCAGAGGCGGCTCTCGACAGAGCAATGGCAAGAGGCGATGTGAAGTGCGTCAATGAGCGAGGAAGACAGTTCTATGTCTTCAACATGATCGAGATTGCAAAGGTCCAAGGCACAGAGCAGCAGACTCAGGGCACCTTGTCCGCTCAGGCGGACTCAGGCCAGCTTGCAGGCTTCACTTCTTTCGTGGAGAACTTCCAGCCAACTTTTCAGGACAATGCTGTCGGCTTTGGAGACTTTGGAGAGAATGCTTTGGCTTCCACTTCGAGTATGGTACCTCATGTACCCGACACTCCTGGAGTTGGAGGGCGGCGCAGTGCCACCACCACCACCACCACGACCACTTGCCATTTGTGACAAAGCAGCAGAGGTGCCACAGGCTTTGGACAAATCCGTTTTGTCCAAGATCGATGATGGGCTGAATTGGTGGAAGAGCCTTCGCGAGCAAGCCAGGAAATCATTGGAGAAAGGTGAAGGGCCAGCGTGTGCAGCACTGAAGCTGCAGCTGCACCAGAAGCTCAAAGACATGTTTGCATGGCAAACACAACTTGAAGAGATGAAAATGTTTGGGACTGTTGGCAACAGCCAGAATGTCAAAGCTGTCCAACTTTGCTTCGGGCTTAGTTCAAATTCAAGAGAGCATTCAAGGCCTACAGGCCATGGCATAGGATGTGCCCAGCTGAGGTCCAAGAAAGAAAGCTTCTTGTGTTTATAGAGCCTTCTTGTGTTTATGTGCTTTCTAGGCTGGGTGGCCTGGTGTGCACTGGATGTTCGTTTTCCACTGGTTCTTTCAGGTTTGGTCGATGTTACATGTTTGATGCGCAAAATGTTGGCACGCATGTTTATTGATCTGTGCGTGGATCTGTAAGATATTTTGGCGCAAACATGCATTCTTTGACAGTTCTCCTGCTGCCCTGCCCGCGCTATGTCTTCAGTGTACGAGTCCGGCAGCGACCAGTCCGAAACAAGTGGAGAATATGAGCGGAGGATGGGAAACATGCCCATGGGAGGTTTCATGTTGCGGCTTGGCGGTGATGTCCCAACAGTGGAGGCAGCGCCAGGGTTTGCTCCTGACATGAATGTTGCTTCTCCACTGTTGGCAGCGGTCATGCAGCTCATGGCCAAAAAGGAGCTAGGCTGCAGCAAACCAAGATGATGTCCAGGAGAACCAGCTCGGTGCATCCTCCAGCATTGCTGCCAATGAAGCTTCCAGTGCTGCCAATGAAGCTTCCAGTGCTGCCAATGAAGCTTCCAGTGCTGCAGGCAATGCTTCCAGTGCTGCCAATGCTCCCAGTGGCAAATCCCGCAAGAAGAAGAACAAGGGTAAGAGCAAGGCAAAGGTCATGCGTAAGCCTTCGAAGAGCGACTAAACGAGAGTGAGCGAGGAGCTCACTCCTCTGTTTGCAGTCCTGGCTTCTTGGATTTTCCAATCAGCTAGCTGACCGTTTTGAACAGATCTTTCTGCGGCAAAACATGCTTTCAGAAGTTTTCGATTTGAGGGTCGATGGATTTGGTTCCTGAGTGCTTTCTTTGCGAGAGTGTTCTGAGAGTATTCTGTGTGTTTCTTGAGATTTCTTGCTGAGAGTTTCCTGAGAGTTTTTTTGAGAGGTTCTGATTGCAGTTTTCCTGAGTCATTTTTTCAGAGAGTTTCTTGAGAGGCTTATATATATATGTTTTGATATAGTTTTCTGAGAGGCCCAATTCTGATAGATTCCTTTCTGAGAGATCCAGTGAGATGAAAGACTCTTAACAAATGGTGTGCGAGCGTTTGCGAGCGTTTGTGATTTTCTTGACCCCCTAATCTGGAGGTGATTTTTTGGAGAAGGTTACCGCGTTTTTCACAAGTTTTTTTAATGTTTAATTCTAGAGGGATTGCCTTCTGTTCGAGTCTTCATTTCTTCTTGCAGAGTATGAAACAACTATGTGTACATATATAGTTGATGTCTGGCTCAAATTGGGCCGGGCCAACCCTGAATCTATATATGCGAAACAAGGTGATAAAGAAACCATTGGATAGGCATTGACATGTTGTTCCAGGCGCGTCCATTCGCGCCCTTAGCCCCCCAGGCTTGAGATCACTTGAGATCAAGCGGCATTCACGGTCCAAAACATTAAATCATTCAAAGCATTCCACGAATACCACCAGCACCTGGGTTGACTGAATTTGTAGAGGAAATTTTGCAGGGGATGTAAAAAGCACTCTTGTTTTGACATGAGCATATGATCGACATGATCACTTGAAACCACTTGGACATGACCACTGTCCACCGAAGACCCTTTTAGCAGCAGAAAATAGGCACGCAGCTCCTGCTAACGCAGATTTAATCAATTATTTCAGGTTTCTGAGGCGCGTCCACCCCGTCATCTAACTTGCTAAAGCAAGAGCAACTTCAGCTAGCTGAGGCTAGCTTTCGTGATTTGGCACTTCAAACTGCAGTTTGAGCACTATAATGTATAACCTCAACTTATAGCTTCCGCAACTGCACGTATATCATACTCAACGACACGTACACCTACCGCAACTTATAACGACCCTCTCCGTAGGAGGCCATCGCATGGTAGGTTGGAGGGAGGCCATCGCTATCAGGTTGGAGGCCATGGCTAGTAGGTTGGAGGCCATCGCTAGTAGGTTGGACGCTAGTAGGTTGGAGGCCATTGCTAGTAGGTTGGAGGCCATGGCTGGTAGGTTGGAGGCCATCGCTAGTAATTAGGTTGAAGGCCATTGTAGTAGGTTGGAGGCCATTGCTATTCTCCTACTTCAAAATCCGGCAGGGCTTTTTCTGTGGCCTTTCCGGTCTGCACCTGCAGCATAGAGGAAATGCTGGCCTTGCAGTGAGCCAGTGGTATTGTGCTGGAACCGTCGGTCTGAAAAGACACAAAAGCATTGCGAAGGCACCGTGAAAGCACCGTGAGGTCGTGACCTGTAAAGCCTGCATGTTGGCCACCGAAGTAAATCCAGCAACCTCGGCGCCAAGTCCCTGCGCCCAGTGCTCCCATGTTTCCCCTAGCGTTCCTCTGTTCCATGCTGTTCCTCGATTGTAGTCACTAACATTTGCAATTGTCCCTTCTGGCTTAGATCTTCAGGTTGATCTGCATTGTTGAAGTCTTGCACAAAGAATGCGGTTAAACTCAGTGCTGGTCTGCTTGAGGTGTTGAAGCAAAACTGATTGTAGCCTCAATTCGCAGGAAGGACGTGGTTGATGCACTATCTTCCCACACTCGCACCTCTACACCATCAGGACCTTCACCAGGTCCGCCTGGCATTTGCTCCTCTGGAAGTTGCCATATTGGCTGCCTCAGTAACAAAGATTTGTTCAGTCCCACTTCTCCGGTAGCTTCTGGTCAGTTCCGCTAGGTCGATATCAATCTTGCGGCCCAGGCATGGTTGTGGGCAAACCGGCTGGCAAAGTGGTCACTGTGGTGGTTGCCGTGAGGGTGGTGACAGTGATCGTGGTGACCGTTGCCGTAGTTTGGGTGGTGACCTCAGAGAAGACAAAATGTATCAGAATCAAAATAGTCCAATCGCACAACTTGTTCATTCCATGTTTCCTTCATCTCATTGCCCCTCACCAGTGTACAGTCCATCGTTTGAACACGTCCATTGGCTAATGCGGCTACAGTAATACAAGGCGCCAACTGTACTTGTTGGTGGCACTGTTGCCTACTACAGCTGCCACGTGGATTGAATTCTTGTTTGGCAACAACTGTTCCACATCTTTTGATCATTGACAACCATCATGATGTGTCTCAAGTGTGTCTGTGTGACCTCCTTTGAAGCATCGCCCCACATAACAGCATTGCTCCATGCCTCACGTGATGAAATGAATCACACGGAACCCAAACGAACAATTTTGTCCGGTTGGTAAGTGCTCTGCGCTTCGAGCTGCCTCACCAGAAACCTGCCCCAGGATGTTCACAAATGAAGCTGCAAATTGATTGTCGCTAGAAATTCAGAAACAGCTATGGCTTTGTTTCATCCTCTGTGCCTAAATAACATGCTGTTCTTGCCTCAGAGTATTGCAAAGCCCGAACTCTTGCATATGCAACTGTTTTCACCTGCAGCATCGAATGCACATGCCAAGAGATAGTGAATCACGAGTAAACCGGCTCCAAAACAAAAACATCAGTCGGACATGTGACACTTTGGGACTGTCAATGTGACTTACACTTTCTGACGCCTCTGGCAAAACTAAGGAGGTGTGTCGCACCATCTGCGTCTGGTAGCTAGAGAAGTCAGGGGCCTCGAGGCTCGAAGTGAACGACTTGAGGTCAGAGGGGGGAGGCGTGCGCATGCTAGGGTGTGGCTGCGCAGACAACCAAGCAACAGACCACCAAGCAGCAGCAGAAACGGACCACCAGCAGCAGCAAACCACCAAGCAGCTGCAGCAAACCACCAAGCATCTGCAGTCTACCACCAAGCAGCTGCAGCAAACCACAAAGGAGCAGCAGCAGCAGCAGAAGCAGCAGACCCAGAGCAGCAGCAGCAGCAGCAGCAGCAGCAGCAGACCACCCAGCGCAGCAGCAAACCACCCAGCGCAGCAGCAAACCACCCAGCGCAGCAGCATACCACCCAGCAGCAGCACCAACCACCCAGCAGCAGCAGCAGACCACCCAGGAGCAGCAGCAGACCACCCAGCAGCAGCAGCAGCAGACCACCCAGCAGCAGCAGCAGCAGACCAGCCAGCAGCAGCAGCAGCAGGAGACCAGCCAGCAGCAGCAGCAAACCACCAGGCAACAACAGACCACCAAGCAGCAGCAGACCAGCAAGCAACTGCAGCA